GCTAATATCTAAAACATATAAAGAATTAAAAAAACTGGACATCAAGAAAACAATTAACCTAGTTAAAAATGGAGTATAGATCTAAAGAGAGATCTCCCAAGGAGGAAACAGATCAATCTCCACTTCAGGATGCCTTCATTCTATAGCCTCCCTTCCTAATCCTGAGCTCACCGAAAAGAGAAGGATCAGGGAGCTCTATATAAAGTTTAGTTCACATCCCAAGTTTCCTGAAATGAACCAAATCATCCAACTTCTTTTGCCCTAGTATTCTCAAAGGCAGATCCTAAATGGCTTTAACTTGGGTTAAGGTGTTCCAAGACATAGCTATGACTTTAGAGGCAAAGAAAACTGCATAAAGGGGAACCAAGAGGCACCATCTCCTGGTCTTCAATCAGGTAACAACTGTTATTGTAATGATTTTAATTCAAACACCAGGAAGATGCTACAGAGAAGCCACAGCATGAATGATAGCACAGGTCATGACTCCATTAATAGGGTTCCTGCTAACTCCAGTTAGGAATAATCCTTATCTGAACCATATTTATAGCTAGAAGACTCAAATAAACTTTACATACAGGAAATCTTCACCAGTCTGACAACTCCAGTTCCCTCAGCCAGTATTTAATTGGTAAGTTACATGTAATATTATCATCTTTCTCATCCTGATCTTACACACTCCATGAAAGCTGTGTTCAGTTACCCATTATGGTTCCTTGTGCTCTCTAAATACTAAACACATCTCAGTGTTGACAACTTGCATGACAAATAATACTAAGAACATTTTTTTTCTGCCAGTCCTCCTAGCAGTTATGCCTATCATTTCCTTGAACTCACAATCCCTGAAACAATTTAATCCTTGATCTGGTTTATTATTTAATTAAAGAATACATTAGATTTCAGATCAAGTAAGTAAAACCTAGTCATGCTTAATTATAAGAACATAGAAAAGAATCGATCGGCCATACAGGCAGACACTCATAGGATACCAAACTGGACAGAATGTAAAAATGAAGAGATCATGGGGATCTGAACCCCAACATACACCTCTATATCCTACATTAATGGCTCCAGAAATATTGTGGAAGAGTGGACAGAAAGATATTGAGAGCCAGAATGCCAGGAAGTGTGCTGTGAAATATTCTCTCCTAGAAATGGCTGCATAAACAAGACCAGAACAATGAATATGTTGGTATGAATGTGGGAAATTTTGAAAGTCCCATTCCTAGACAAAAAATTAGGCTCTATTAGGGACAAGCTCCCTAACTGATCATCCTACACCAAGTGGTCATCCCTTCTGATGCCTATTCCTTATTGTCAATTTGACTAAACGTGGAGTTACCTAAAACCCAAGAGATAAGTGTAGCAACCACTTTGAATCTACATCAACAAAACTAAATGGATATGAGCACACACACACACACACACACACACACACACACACACACACACACACACACACATATATATATATATATATATATATATATATATATAGAGAGAGAGAGAGAGAGAGAGAGAGAGAGAGAGAGAGAGAGAGAGAAGTGGATCAGTCTATAAGGCTGGATGTATCAGCTGGTCTTCAGCATACTTTGAAATCCTCCCAGAAATAGAATCTAATACCAGTGATAAGATGAACTTGCCAGTGAGAATGAGAGCAAAAAGTCAAAGAGCAAAGATGAGAGAGTTTCCTTCTTCCATGTCCTTTATATAGGCTGCCACCAGCTAAGATTTAAGGTAGATTCTCAAACCTCAAAACTTCTGAATTTAGGTGGGGCTTCTCACTTCAAATGATTCAATCAAGAAAATTCCCTCACAAGGAAAATCAGAGACACTTGGGTTTTAGTTAATCAAATATTTTATTTATTCAGACCTAGTTTCTCGTGTATTGTTGGAGCACAGCTTTGAATTCATTTTGTAGACCAGGCTAGCCTCTAACTCACAGAGATCTGCCTGCCTCTGCCTCCAGAATGCTAGGACTGGAGGTATGTGCCACCACTGCCTGGCTTCCCCAAGTATGTGTTAAAAAAAGAAAAAAGAAAAGAACAGACAGTTGAGTGGGTAGAGAAAGGGATGAAACTCTTTGAAATCGCAGTTGAGGTAAACATGATAAAAATGAGTTGAACAAAATTCTAAAGAATTTTTGAGAATTCTTTAATGTTGATATTTACTAAAATCACAGATTGATATCATTAACTGTGAAATTACAAAAGGAAAAGCAAGAATATAAGCACACCATAAATTATTTAGAAACAGTGAAATATTGTAGTAAAATTACTCTATTTATTTATCTTTTTTAGAAAAGTTCTCACTGTATATCCTAGACAGTCCTTGAACTAAAACCCCTCCTGCTTCTGCAGCTCATCCTCTGTGACTCTAAGGATTAAAGGTGTGAGCTACCACACCCAGCTAAGCATGACCTCAGGAAACCTTATTGTGGAGATTTGTTTGTGGATACTGGCCATAGAGTTAATTCAATCTTCCATCCATTTAGAATACTGCTATTCACAGGAGCTCACCTACAGCCAGCATTAGTAAAAGCAACATGGGAGGAAGTGGGCGTGGTCTTTAGAGAGTATATAAGGACACTCCAGGGGCCAGCCTGGTTCAGTGTTCTCTATACCAGACAGAGTGAGTCTCCATATCTAGTGGCTCCTAGACTGCTAGATCTATCTCCTCCACACATTGAGGATCATACCCCAGAGCTGAGCTAATATTGCTGTGTCTCCACAAAACACTGCTGAGGCTGGAGACGATTTCTTGCGTAAGTGCATAGTTTAAGATTGAAAGTAGTTGGTGTTTTCTATTTTAATTTGTTACCAAACTGACGTTTTTGCTTAAAAATGCTTAAAATTTGGCTATTTATCAAAAGAGATTCTGCTCCCATTTGGTCATCTTGCATTTTAAATATATTGTGAGTTACAGGTGTAGATAATTGTTGTTTATCCATTCACAGTCTTTCTTTGCTCTGATGTTCCAACTTTCAATTTTGATCTTTCTCTAAATTTTAAGAATATTTATAGAGTATTTCTGTATGTATTTCATAGATGTGAAATCAACACCTCTAAATTAACTTTACATGTATAATATATAAAATAATTGCTCTGAATAGATTGATAATTACTAGCAGTTAGAGACATATTCTATGAGTATTATGTATAAAAGTGAAAACTCATTATTTATCAAAGGAATATATTTTAGTATTTCCCGTTGTAAACTATAGGGAAACATCACAGTGTGAAATAATGCTTGATAATAGTTTACCATCTTTGAAAAACTGGCTCTTCCTGCTATTGGTTGATTTGCTAGGTTGGAGGTATACATGTGATTAAATTAGAGAAAATTAAACACAATATTCTATTCAGGAAAGTAGATCCTGGTTACAACCTGGTGCAATTTTTTAAATTCTGCATTCAGTTTTCATTATTTCTGTGAATTCATAAATTGTTTTGGAATGTTGTATCAGAAGCTCATTTTTTAGTAAAAGGGAGGACCTGTATGGCCCTGGCTCCCATTTTGGGTAACTGTTGGCTTGCTTTCTGACCTTGACCTTGATATCCTCCCTATGTTAATTTCCTGTCAGGATCCACCCTCCTGAATGCTTAAGGGAATTTTCCCATCTGTATATCCTTCATATTGGGCGTTAACAACTGATAAGCAAGATTGTAATACATCAGTAGCAACTTCTGCCCTCCCGGGTTCTCCCATTGTGCTGTAAGCCTGTATTTTTTTACAGCATTAGGCATTCAAAAAAATGAAGAAACTAATATAGAGAAAAAAATTCCAAATAGGGGTGATTAAGTAAGTTAAGGGAGGTAGCATTTGAGTCTTCATCTCTTTTCTAAAATAATCTTGACAATGAGTATTAGTATTATTTTCAAGTTAAATAGGACCACCAGCTAAAGCCATAGAGTCCATTTGCTTCAGACCACTGAAGCTGAAGTTATTTGTGGGATGTTTATCTCACTCAATCCGAGATTCTTTATTTGTGTAGACCTTCCAAGAGAAGGAACAATGGGTGCCTGTTGATTAAATAGGAAAGTCTGATAGAGTATGACATCCACATTTATGCCTCAAGGTTCATCCCATAAACTGAAGCCAGCCTCTGTATCTTTGATAAACAAACAAGTTTCCAGAATTCAACTTGATGGGATTTAGGATAGATATGGAAACCTCTGGGGATGTCTGTGAAGGATTATTGGGGGGTAGATTCACTACAGTTGGTAAGATCCACACTAAATGCTCATGAGATCACTTGACCATTCCATGGTTTGAGGTCTCAAACTAATGAAAAGGTAACAGGAGCTGAGCAGCAAGTGTTCCTTGCTTTCTTTTTGCTGATTTTGGATGCAATGCCACCAGCTCTCTCAAGCTCCTGCCACCATTTCTTCCCCACAATGATGGACATATCCTTGAATTATGACCCCCCTAATTCTAATTCTTGTTAACTGTTTGCATCAGAAAGAAGACAAGTAACTAATGTTGCCTTCAGGTGTCAAGGGGCGTGATAATAGGATGTGAAGGACTAAGATGCTAAAATCAGAAATTAAGCAAAGCATTTACTAGGGACCATGTGAAAAAGGGAGTGTTTTCTTGGATAGCCAACAAAGAAGGGTGTGTTTAACCTACTTATGTTTGTAGTGAAAAGTCAACATGTAGACTTGAAGGAGTTTGATCACTCTAGTGTATATTTATTTATAAACACTTGGAAAGCATGTCTCAGACCAGCAACCAAGACACTAATCTGAAGGGAGTCTCCAAAGAAGATGCAGGTGGAATGGCTCCGAAGGACATCAGACTAATCTATATTTCTGTCAAGAAGAGTGAAAGAGGAAAGATCAGCAACTGCAATCCTATACTTATCTTGATTTTTTGTTCCTGGAAAATGAAGCCTGCTTTGCCATAAACAGAATTAAATCACAACTTGCATCAGTTTTTGTGCTGTTTCTGGCTTCTCTGGGGTGGAATAATAGCAATTCTTCTGCTTTTCTTCCTTCAGAAAAATGGAGTCAGACATCTCACAAGCCTTCCAGAAAGAACTCACCTGCTTCATCTGCCTGAGGTGCCTGACAGACCCAGTCACCATAAGCTGTGGTCACAGCTTCTGTCGAGCTTGCCTCCACCTTTCCTGGGAAGACATCCAACCTCCTGAACGATGCCCTTTGTGTAGAGAACAATATGGGAAGGACTTGAGAACCAACATTGTTTTGAAGAAGCTGGTGTCCATTGTCAGACAAGCCAGCCTCATGAAGGACCTGAGCTCTGAGGAGCAAAAGTGTGTGACCCACGAGGATACTAAGAGGATCTTCTGTGCTGAGAACAGGATCTTCCTCTGTCAACTCTGTTCTAACTCCCATGAGCACAGAGGACACAGACACTGTCCCATTGAAGCAGCTGCTGAGGATCAAATGGTAAGTGATGCTTCTGAGAGAACTTGCAAGCTGAAGAGAGGTAGGCTTAGAAAACCACAGGAAGATGCTGGTCCTCATTATGACAAAGGCATTGTTTTCAGAATGGTGGTACTTCATTAACATCTAATGAATAAAGGGTGACTAGGAATGTAAACATCCTTTGGGGTACCCTGAGTGTAAAAATCATTTGTATTTTATGATACATTATGCCCAGGTCACTGGAAAGTGCAACACTAACTTCCTATCTTTTAAAAGTGTCTATGGCTGGAGACTAAATTAGGAAAAGTACATGGGAGTCAGGTACAGCCAAACATGTAATCAAAATAATTCATCAATATACCTGAGCAAAAGGGTAAGCTGCATTTTCTAATTCTGTGGGCTCATCTAATATTCATAGCTAGAAAAAGAAAAAAATGAACGATAATTTTGATTCTGGTACTCTCACTACAATAATTGTATTGATTGCCCAAGAGTCTGTCAATCAGTAATATTTTTCAAAATTGATATTCATTGTTTTTTTACAGGACAGACTTTTGAAGCAAATGGCATCTTTATGGGAGAAGGTCCAAGAAAATCAAAAGATTTTAGAGGCAGAGAACAGAATGAGAACTCTTTGGATGGTGAGTATGAGAACCATGCTTAAAATAAGCCTGATGCAGATATTTTTAAAATTCGCCATAAGGCCTGGGATAGGATGCTTGGAATATGTGTCCTGCTCACCTCTAATTCTGAGTGTATAATACATCTCTGCTCTTGGAATGAATGGTCTGCTTCTGTAGAAGAGTCTGGGTCTAATGAGTGAATGGCTGACTGTTCTGCACACTGCGTTAGACTTTATGACTACATGTAGAGTTTCACAACTTTGTGAACATATGAATGATCAATCTTTTTTACAGGCACCTCTGCACCTCTAATACAGGTGTAAATACATCTTAGGGTTGGATTGCCTGTGTAATTAATAAAGAAGAAATAAATGAAACCAAGGCATTTACATTTTCTGAGGTGTGAAGACAGTCAATCTGAGTATATGCATCAGAGTTATACAAAACATTTGTGGAATTTAAGCATAGGAGGATGAAATGATGGAGGACAAAGTACTTTGCAAAGATGATTGGGAATGTCTTTTTTTTCTTCAGGACTACTTGACTCTTCGGGAAGAAATGATCAGGACAGAGTATAGGAAACTGCATCCACTCCTCTGTGAAGAGGAAGAGAAACACATTGAGTCTATGAGAAATGAAGGCCAATGTGTTTTAGAGAAACTCAGGACAAGTGAATCCATGATGGTGCAAAAGAGAAAAGAACTAAAAGAAATGTACCAGGAGCTGCTGGCAATGTCCCAGGAGCCATATGTGGTTCTGCTGCAGGTGAGCATGGAGGCCCACCGTGGTGATTGTTATACTAAGATAGCTTTCAATATATCCTGCATTTTTTTAGGGAGTTTCCTTTTGACAAATTTTCTGGAGAAACAAAATTCTGTAATAATCTTGAAAGAAGAAACTTTTTGAAATTATGTCCATAGATTCTTCAGGGATTATGTCCTAACTTTTGGCTTTTGTGCCTTGCTTTTCTGATAACTGAAATTCAGTGATTTCTCTTTCCAGCATTCTTTACCTCTGCTTATATATTGTGTACAATATTAAAGTAACCTGTGGCTTAATCTTCTGTTTGAGGGCGGTGTTTTTGAGAGTCCTTTAGGAGGTTGGCATTTTGAGAAAGGATCCTATTTGGTAGTACATGATACCTTGCAACTCACAGTAATGCTCAGGCTTCTAATCATGCAATTCTGAAATACACAAGTGAAGCACCATGCAGGGGTAAGGCCACCCTTTTGAAGTATCCTTAGCTAAAGTATCCCTATGGCTTGTAGAGAAGCTCAGGGAAAGTTACCTTTGCAGACAGGTGGGGGTTCAAAAGCAATGTACAGTCCATACCCTTGTCCTTCTGAAATTACTCTTTAGTCTGATTCCATCAATAATTTGAGTTCTGCTAATCTATTTGGTTGGCATCATCTTAAGACATGAATATAATTTACCAGGATAGATTGGTGTGATGTTGACTGGCATTTATATGAACTTTAGAAATTAACATTGCATTTCATTTCTTCAGATATCTAAGTTTTTCTTGTTTTCTTTGCAGAGTTTGGACCACATGTTCAGAAGGTGAGTTTAGCCATCAGTGCAAGTCCGGATACCCAAAAATATGCTATAAAATTGTCCAAGTTGCCTTAGGAAGTGCAGATGTCTTTTATATAGAAAATACTCAATTGTTTTAGTGTGATATTTTTGGGATTCTTTTACTTGTTTTGTTATTTTTATGTGTGTGTGAGTTTGTGTGCATGTACTTGCACATGTGTGCAGGTCAGAGGACATCTTTCTCCTTCCATCAAAGGTTCCAAGGATTGAACTCAAGTTGTCAGGCTTCTGTAAACTGAGGTGTTTGGCTGAACTTGGAATGAAGTTTTTCCTAATCAGAGTGTGATATCTTTAGCACCACGGAGGTCAATATTTTCTTTTCCTTGCAGAAGTGAGTCAATGCAGCTGAGCATGCCACAGCCTATTAAGACAGAACTCAATGCCCTACCCATCACTGGACTGACCGAAAGTTACAACCAGTTCCAAGGTGAGTGTCTCCACTGATAAAATGACCAGAGCTAACTTTCAATAATGAAATAACCTTTGCAAATGCAGTATTTTAACTCCCCAGAAATATGTCTAGGTAAGTCACATTGTATTGTTATTGAATCCCATGGTCATCTTACAAACAAACCAACAAACAGAAATAGATACTAATATCATGTTGTAGGTAATAGTACCCGAAAAGAGACTATCATTTGTTCATTGAGTAGAATGGTTATTTCACTCTGGACAGTATAATTCAAAGGAAGTGTAGCCAGTGATGGAGATATTTGATTATTTTCTTTTCAATGTGTGAGAAATTAATTTCTTACATTGCATTTTACTCCATAAATTAAAAAATACACAAGATAAAGAAGTGCACACTAGTAATCCCAGCATCAAAAACCTAGTGTGTGGAGGACTGCCAATGATTTGAGGACAGTCTGGTCAACACATTGAGTTCTATGCCAGTCTAGGACAAATAGAAAGACCCTATCACCAAAGGAACAAAAAAAGTCATAAAATAACTTAACAGACAAAGCCATGTATCATGAGCAATGAAAATGAAACAAATTGATAGGACATGAGGCAGTGTCTAAATCCTCCTTGTAGATCTAAATGTCAATTGTAACCTCACAGAGAAAGAGTATCAGATGTACCAGAGGTTAAAGGAGGACAGATACATTCAGGGATCCACTTCTAGAGCATATTTAGATTCTCCTTGAGTACAAATATGCTCAGTTAGATGCAAATGAAAACACCAATATGAAAGTTATCACTACTTATATCTACATAAAAATAACTTTTCATGTAGATCCATGAGCACAGCCTTTGCTCTGGCCCTTGCTGCAATGCACACATCTTCCCTGAGGCAGGTGTAATTTAAAGTCTTGGTGTATTTGAGCCAAATTTAATCTCAGGTCTTACCTTCTCTTTTTAAAATCTCGAATAATCTATGGACCTCTCTCACCTGAGAAATGTAAGCAATCATTTTACCTAAATGTTGTTTCTTCCCACAGTGCGCATTTCCTTACCAAACATAACAATGATCCATCACAAGATAAACCTCTTTAATGCCATGAGAAGATTGAGCTTCAGACCTCACCATAAAGATACATCTGCGGATTTTGCTGGATGCTATTCTGCTACCTGGAGTTCACAGAGCTTCATCTTAGGGAAATATTACTGGGAGATTGATTTGAAGGACTCTTGGGACTGGGCTGTAGGGGTCTGTAAGGATTCCTTGTTAAGGAATAGAAACCAAGTGATTGAATCTGAAGGTGCATTTCTTCTTGTGTGTGTGAAGGAGGGTAATGATTACAGTCTCCTCACCACATGCCCAGTGCTCCAGCACTATATAGAGAAGCCACTGGGCCAAGTTGGTGTGTTCCTTGATTGTGAGGAGGGATGTTTAAGTTTTGTGAATGTTGCCAAGAGTTCCCTCATACACAAGTACCCTTCTGGCACCTTCAAAAACCCTGTCTGGTCTTACTTCTCCACGGGAAAATCTGAAATCCAGTACCATAGTGATTTTTAAGTATTCCCTACTGTAATGTTACTTTTGTTATTGCTATTAAATATTAAAATACTATTAAATGAAAAAATGGTAGACTATATTACCTTTTATTCTGTAGTCCACATATTCCATAAAGTAACCTTATTTCATAGTGATTTTTGTTTGCTTGTTTTTGTGTATTTGACATTAAGTAATTATGCTTAGATACTGAGAGTAGTCTCAGAGACTCAGGCTCTATTTGGCTGTTCAAGCCCCTTTTAAGTGTACTCAGGACCCTCAGCTGCATTCTAACACCATAAAAATATGATCTACCTATGGGATTCCACTTAATGGTGTCAAGCTGGAGCACTGGTATGTATTGTGGTTGCTAATTTGAGGTCAATTTGACACAGACTCTTTTGGTGTTTTGAGACATGGTTTCTCTGTATAGCTTGGGCTGTCCTCTGCATTTTTTCAAAGGTAGAGATAGGTAACTAGGTCGTATTTTGTACATTTCCCCAGGAATTTGCTTAGACAGTCCCATGAGTTACTCAGTTGCGCTTACCCTTTTGTGTGTACTGTTAGGTAAGAATTTTGCTCATATCCCTGTTTACTTCCTCCCTATTTTTCACCCATTTCTGACAATACATTTATGATCCCCCTTCACACCCTCATCAAGTGTTGTGGTGTCCTTCTAGCTTGAAATTCCGGTAACCTTTAGACCTCACCTTACTTGCAATGACAGGGTCACGGTGTATAACTTTTTATTAAGACAAAATCCCATTTCTACATAACAGATTATATTTTATTTAGCTAGCTATTCTTGATTTAGGCTTTTGTTGTTGTTGTAGCATGATAACTGGAGAGCAAGAACCTATTGGAAAGGACTCTTTGTTGTTGTTACTCATGGTAATTGAAGGTTGTTGAGTCTATGGTGTCCTGGTCTCCTGTCCTGGAAGAGAACATCATATATCACACTGGTAGGTATGAGTGGCTTTGAAACGTATTCTTCTGGTTGTAGAAAGCAATCAAAGAGGCCAGAAAGGGCCAGAGACTATAATGTACAAGGAAGGACATGACCCCAGTGATCTATTTCTTCTAGCTGGTCCCAACTTCCTGAAGTTTTCTTCCCTTTAAAAGTAATGTCGGCCGGGCGGTGGTGGCGCACACCTTTAATCCCAGCACTCGGGAGGCAGAGGCAGGTGGATCTCTGTGAGTTCGAGGCCAGCCTGGACTACCAAGTGAGTTCCCGGAAAGGCGCAAAGCTACACAGAGAAACCCTGTCTCGAAAAACCAAAAAAAAAAAAAAAAAAAAAAAAAAAAGTAATGTCACCAGTTTGTGACCAAGCATCTGGTGCATGAATCTGTGGAGGATCTTTCATATTCAAACCATGGATCAAAAACCATCCTAAAAATGTGACAACTTGGGGCTGGAAAGATGGCTCAGCGGATAAGAGCACTGGCTGTTCTTCTAGAGGTCCTGAGTTCGATTCCCAGCAACCACATGGTGGCTCACAACCTTCCTTAATGAGATCTATTGCCCCCTTCTGGTTTGCAGGTATACTTGCAGACAGAACACTGTATACATAATAAATAAATATAAAAAAAATGTGACAACTTAGAATAGTTTATGACTGCTGGTTCTGTTATAGAGATTCTCTGCTGGCTGGTTTTAACTCAGTGTTGCAGTGATCTGGCAGCTGGAGTGGGTCCCTGAAAGCAGAACTGGGATGATGTACAAGAACACTCACTGTTGCCTGACAGTGGGCAGCTGCAGGAATTTCCATGTGTCCTAGGAAGAAGGGTTCTTCTGGATTTTCATTGTGCTTCTTTGGTTGTCTCAGGATAGCTGGATTTCCTATCTAATGCCTAGCTTCCTAACAGAGCTGTGTTGTTGGGGGTACAGAGGCCCTTTTACTCACAGAGAAGACCCAAGAGAACCAGGAATGTTAATCATTGCAGGAATGTTTCCTCAATGGAGGAGTTAAAAACCAAATACCACTATTCCATCCAGAAAGCTGAGAGTGGATTTTGTTAACGACCTGGTGACTTCTTTCCTTTCTGTGGAGGCAGACCTCACCCACCTTTTGCTACAGAGGCAGACCTCACCTAGATTTTGCTACAGAGGCAGACATTGCCCAAATTCACCAGAATGGTTATTCCAGACTCTTCCCTCCCTAGATAGTTACCAATCCTTAGGGAAGATGTTCCTTGCACTTTATAGTCTGCTCACCTCTATGCATTGGTCAGAGACCAATCTAGATTCTAGGTCTTTTAGCTATAGAACTCACCCTCATGGTCACATGTACCTTGTAAAGGAGTTTCTTTGTAGTCACACTTTGAGCTTTATTGTGCACCTGGAATTGGATTGATTGGACCAATTTTTGCCTAGAAACCTTTTCCCAAATTGTGCTGTGTTTTAAATATGCTGACAATGAATACCTGGCATTAGACTCCCCAAAGTCTGATCCAGGTTGACAAAGTCAATCTGCACCAGGTTTTCTTTCTTTCTTTCTTTCTTTCTTTCTTTCTTTCTTTCTTTCTTTCTTTCTTTCTTTCTTTCTTTCTTTTCTTCCTTTCTTTGAGATAGGGTTTCTCTGTGTAGCCTTGTCTGTTCTGGAACTTGCTCTGTAGACTAGGCTGGCCTCAAACTCAGAGATCTACCTGCTTCTGCCTCCCAAGTAATAGGATTAAAGGCATGAGCCATCACTACTCAGCTCAAGTTTTCATTCTCTTTTTTTTGAGCTGAGGACTGAACCCAGGGCCTTGTTCTTGCTAGGCAAGTGCTCTACCACTGAGCTAAATCCCAAACCCTCAGTTTTCATTCTTATCTCTTCAGTGGTTTGCTTCCCTGTATGACACCTGCAGGGACCCCCTCACTGTGTGACTTTTTGCAGCCTTGCCTATGAATTTCCCAGATGGTACCTTTGCCATGTTTCATTGATCAAACCAGTTGCTACAGATAAGGCCTAAGAGAATTTAGTTTCCACCAAAGATGGAAGAATTGCCTAGTAGTTGTGGCCCACTCCCAAAAGTCAGTATTCAAATTCACTTCAGTATTCTTCATGTATATTGCTTAGCTCCAAGTTTATTTCAAAGTATAGTATTTAATTTCTGAATATTGAGTCATTCCTAGACTCTTGATTTGATATTGGTTTCTTATTTAAAGGATTTATATTCAGAGCATATATGGGATTTTACTTTGGGGATTTGTGTTATGGGTCAACATAATGTTCTGTTTTGGTGACTTTTCTGTTTCTTCTTTAACACTAAAGTCAAGATTTTTGTCATCTATATCTGCCTTCTTCTTGACTTTGTAGCCTATGTCCCATCAATTTCTTTTCTTTTCTTTGTCTTTTTTTTTTTTTTTTTTTTTTTTTGGTTTTTCGAGACAGGGTTTCTCTTTGTAGCTTTGGAGCCTGTCCTGGAACTCACTCTGTAGCCCAGGCTGGCCTTGAACTCACAGAGATCCGCCTGCCTCTGCCTTCCGAGTGCTGGGATTAAAGGTG